AATAGGATAGGTATTAATATAAATAATTTCTATTCAATATTTTTATCTAAATGCTTGCAAATGCTATCTATAATTATATTTAAAATTGGAATGGAAATAAGAAAATTTTCAACATGATGAAGACGAAATGAAATTTAAATATAATTTTTAATGCAATGCCAGACATAAAGATCATGAAAATTATTTATATTATCAATTTCTTATTTTCTATGTACATATAAATTTATATATATATATGTATATAAATTACATATATTTTATATAAATTCTATATAATTTTATATATATAGAAATTTAGTGCGAAAGTTATATACATACATATACCTATATAACTTTCATACTAACATTTCTATATTTTCTAAATATAATCATAAATAGCACTTACAAGCGTCTAAATAATTTTCTAACTGTAGGAAATTGTACTTCGCGCGATGAGGGATACGATAGGACGCTACCACGCGCGTAGGCACATTTCAATCGCTGCGGGCCGATTTTGCGACATACATACATACGTCACAGACACTACCTGCGAGATAAGCACGCCGGAACTGCGTCAGAACCCGTTATACTTCTCACGTAAGGTCGCACGCCGTGCGACAAACCGGAAAATTCTCCCAGATGCTCGTTTGAGATTGTTCTGCGCGCGAATCACATCGGTCGAAGAGGATGATATTGAAAATTCTTCTAAAACGCGATCGAAAATTGGTAAAAATGTCTGTCCCGATTATTGGGAGGTCCAAGGTTCAAATCATCGCTGATATTTTTCACTATAAATTTCCTGTAGCTTTATAATAGATATGCTATTTAATATTATCGTAAAAATAATATTAAATTAATTAATGATAATTTAATACTGCGATATTACAAACAGTAATCAGTGTATAGTTCAAAAGGCATATGAAGGCAAGATATGTAAAATTCACAAACATTTTTATTACGCATCAGATCTCATCCAAAAATGTTCAATATTTATTTATTATATTCCGTGTTATACGCATATATCGATCGATATTTACTTATTAAAGTGTTCTCTTAAAATGTATTTATCCTAGGAGGGAAAATTTATTCGCATAATGTTGATAAAATAACGATAAAATAAGTTAATGTCAAGTGGCCCTTAACATTAAACTTTGGAGAGCGTTACACTCTGGAGAACAGTACACACATTTCGTTCTGTCAAGTATCGTAACGCACACGTGTGACCGCGTGCGATCAAATTCAACGTGTGTGCGCGGGAGAAGAGAAAAAAAAACACTGGAGGAGAGAATTTCTCGGTTTCTATAAATCCGGGCAGTGTATCGATCCTTCCGATATCGATGCAACAATTTCATGCAACAAAGCAAGTCCCGGGCAGACTCTGTCCCGTGATTACATTCATTATTTACGATCGCGGTGCGTTACACACAAACACGCACACACGTTACTATGCGCGCCTACATTTTCCGCGGAGCACGTGTTTACCTCCTCGTACGCGACAAATACGCGACCGTCCACGTGCATCAACGTGACGGATGTGGCGGCCGGGGTCGCAATGTGGGGCACGGGTAAGGCCAAACGGCGGCTCTTGGGGAACTCGCGGGTCTCCGCGAGTTGCACTCGCATTGATTTTTCGAACGACTCGTCGCTCATTCGTCGCTACTTGTGAACGTATCCGACAATTTGTTTAGAATAAATATATTGAAGGCTGCCGGCAAATATTTTAAAATTTATTTCTACAGCTCGTCGATAACCTTGACTTTTACACGCGTGTCGCGCGTAGGATCGTGAGCCGCCTACGTGAGAAATGCAGTTTACATGAAAGTTATGTTGCAATATGCGCCACGTACAACGCGTTAATTTTCAACGTCAATTACAATCGTTCGAAAGTCAACCAAAAATTTCCATCGGTGGTCCTCACAAAAGTGTAACCCTTTGCTGCCACTGTGTATGGCACACCCGACGATTCTTTTTATTTTATATGATATAATTTTTTTATTAATAAAGGTACATACATTTTCTTGCTGCCATTTTATTCATTAAAGTCTGACGTTTCGGTTGAAAACAATTTTTTATAATATGTTCACTTTTATGCGATATTTTTACAATATCCAGTGTTGTTGTTTACGTATACAAAACGTATACCGTGGTAGTAAAGAGTTAATACTTTATTAATCCTTTAGAAGAGCCAAACAGTGCCTTTTAATACTCAAAATAAGTGATTATTTGGCCCCTCCAGTATTAAATTTCCGTAAGGAGGCTTAACGTCCGCTAGGTAAGCTTAGATTCTTTTTACAAAACACTGCACAATTTCGTTCGCAAAATATAATTCGTCCTTACAAAAAGATATATAGAAAAGATTGCACGTAATGTAATTGATATCGCGTGTAGCGATAGAAATGAGAAAGATCGTATTTTATAAATTCTCCGACCATATATTGATCGGAGAATTACTTCGGGCGTTCTCGGGATTATTTTGTAGAAGCGAAACAGATGTATTGCAGACTCGAAAGGGAGGCGAGGGGACACTATTTGGGTTCCGCGGCCGGTGGAACCGAGGTATACAGTACGGAAACTATCCAACGGCAACGGCAATGGTCTTTCGTAGAATCGAGAGGCAAAGCCAGCTTTCTCGTTCGCTGCGGAAAATATCACTTTCAAAGTTTTCTACATCTAGCGCAGTGGTAACGTCGACGCGAATAATTCATTGATATTTCATAACTTATACAGCCTTCGATAGCAAGATATATGAGAGAAACGTTGAAAAATCAATCGGATAAAGTGATTGAAGCGCATTATTTTCATATTAATACTTCAATTCCGGTTTTGTGCTCGAAGCAACGCGCGCATAATAATAATGCAGGAGTAATCTTTTTTTAATCGAGAGCCTCCCGTGAATTTATTTCTCTCTCCGTTAATAAGTAAGCAAATCGATAAAAACCAAGGACACGCGGAAGAACGAAAAATGCTTGACGGCGGTATCGCATCATCGTATCGCTATATCCTTTTCCCTTTCCTTTCGTTTTCCCCAGCTGCTTATAGTTTACTTTCTAATTGCAGGTAATAGTACGTGCTGCAGTGTTTTGCTTCGTACTCTCATTCAGATATCCACAGCAAGGCGCTTGACCCATTGTGCTCAATATTGCTGACTAAACACAAGTCCCCGGAAATTTTCTATCTATTTACTCACACAGCTACGTAATAGATGGACAAAATAAATCAGCTGTCGCTGAAGAAGTCGTTATGAAATATGGGCGATTAAATCGGAGAAATTTTTGTTTCTATTCTAAACGATCGAAGGATTTTTCAAAATTTGTTGGCACTTCAATATAAAGAGAGGAAAGTTCCACTTAAGTGGCATAAGTCTTTTCGCACTCAATTCTTGTAAAATGTGGCAAGTTCGCGTATATAAATCTTTTCACGCAGTCCAATTGCGCCTTCTCTTACATGGCGTTTAAAATATTATAAAGAGACGCACACAAAAGTGGTTTGCATTATCGGTTAGTTGACGTATTTACTTAAATATAGATATCGACTTTACATGCCCGTTTATTTTAATTGCTAAGACACTTTGCGCGCGAACATTATTCCACCTTTTTGCATTAGCTATCTGAGAATTTAGTATTATAAACTTAAAATAATACTTGTGACGAACGCGAGGCGGCCAAGCTGGCACCGCGAGGAATGCTACTCTATACTCTAAAATCATCAATAAAAAGAGTTTTCTTGTCCCAAGATGCTTTTGTACCCCCCAAAATCGTCAATAAAAAGAATTCTCTTGATCTGAGATACTTCCCTGTTCCAAAATTATCAATAAAAAGTCTTCTTGCTCCGAAATACTTGACTATTCGAAAATCATCAATAAAAAGAGCTCTCTTACTCCGAGCTGCCTCCCTGTTCCAAAATCATCAAATAAAAGTTGTCTTGCTCCAAAATACTTGACTACTCCAAAATCATTAATAAGGAAAACTTATTTGCTTCGAAATATATATTGTTCCACAATCATCAATAAAGTGTTCTTGCTTTTCTACCTCAAAATAATCAATAAAAAAGAACTGCCTTACTCCAAGATACTTGCTTACTACAAAATTATTAATAAGGAGAGCTTTCATGTTTCGAGATATTTGACTACTCTAAAATCGTAGCTTATTTGCTCCGAGATACTTTATTATTCCAAAATCATCAATAAAAAGAGGTTCCTTACTCCGAAACTACTTTCCTACTTCAAAATTATCAATAAAAACAACTTTCTTGCTCTGAAATACTTTAATACTTCAAAATCATCAATAAAAGACCGTTTTCTTACTACGAAATGCTTCTCTATTCCAAAATCGTCAACAAGAAGACTCGAAATACATCTCTATTTCGAAATTATTAATCAAGAGAGCTTGCTTCAAGTTGTTTCAAAATCATTATGAGGTTCTTTTCCTGCTCCAAATAAATGTTGCTGCTCACTAATAAGGAAACCTCTTACGTATCGCGCAACGGTGAGAAAGCGAGATAACGCGTGACATATTTAACTATTTAGCAATTATTGCAAACTCTCTTATCCGTACGTATATAGCGACTTTTTTTTCCTGTTACTTATCTTACCGAACAATCGAGGAGCTGTTGCCAACCGAGTGTCTATCCGCGCCTGCACCTGCAGGATCCCGACCGTTTTCGCAAAGTGGCGCAGCGAGAAACGTCCTCGGTCACTTTATATTGCAAATAACAGTATCTAGACAGTTGACATCATATCTTTAACAACATTTCTTTCTCTCTTTCTTTCTATCTCCGTCTCCCTTCCCCTCTCTCTCTCTCTCCCTCCTTTTACCTCTCTCCTTCTCCCACTTCTTCAAAATTGCTCCTCTCTCTCTCTCTCTCTCTCTCTCTCTCTCTCTCTCTCTTTGTCGCTCTCTCGTCTCGTCATCAGCAACTACGCCATCGTGGGATTCCGGCTCCGAATGGAGCGTTCCTGATCTAAATCTCTCGGAATGAAGTGCGCCTCAAGTCGCGAGGTCAGGAAAACGAAGTGAACTCACCGGTTCGCTGACGAGCGTCACATCTCCGCGCCGCTTGGGACGTTGTTGGCTAGCGCCTTCCTACCCGTCGTCGCGATCGTGATTGTCGTCGTGCTGGCGGCTTTTTTTCCCACCTCGCTTCAGCACTCCGGAGTAATCCAACTCTCGCTGGATGAGGATCTCTCTCTCGTCCGGAGCAATATCACTGCGCCGCAGCGGACAAAGCCATCTTGATGAGGGCACGCACTCACAAAACGGCACAACCTGCCTTGGATCGCGACGGTCAGGTCTGGTCAGGCCTGGTCCTCTTGCCAGGACGGGAGGCGGCTAAATGAGAACACGGCACACGATCAAAGAGTGCGCTACGATGGCGCCACTGCACGATTACTGTCGCCGCCATTGCTTCTGCCGTTGCTGGCGCGTCGTTGTGCCGTTGCCGTTGTTAACGCCGTTTGCTCTCGCAATATTGGCTGCGGCGGTTACTCAGATAGGTGTGACATGATCTGATGAACTTTTATAGACCTTTTTCAAAACATTCAGACACCGACAAAATGCGCTTAGAAGAATTTCAAAGGGTACTTTTGAAACGATAATAATGAGGATTGAACGGTCAGGTGACCTTGAAGAGAAGCTTCCACCTACAATCAGCAAGTGGCGCTACTTCAAAGGCGGCAACTTTGAAATTGCAGCTAAGTTCGAAAGAATCTTGTACTCTTTGATTGGAACGATGATAATGAAATAGAGAACGTAGGATTTGTAAAGAGCCTCGCGCAAAACTGCCCTTACAGATTTCTGTTATTAGCATCTTAAAATTGTATATGTAAATTTTGTTCAAAGAGCAATCTTGAAATGGTCTAACATCTTCAAGAATTAAAAGAACAGCGGAAGTACAGCAAAAGAAAAATTCTCATTAAAAATGGCAGAGTTAAAAAATAATAGAGAATGATGAAAATGAAAGGTCCGATAGAAATTAAATAAAAGTGACACCAAAAATGTAGATAAAATAATTGAAGTAAATTAAAATATTTAAAACATAAAATTCTCTAGTAATCGTACAATTACCAAGCATGCTCGTCGGACATCGAAATGCGATTTTCTTAAATAGATTTTATTCGAGAGCACTAAACAATTATTATCTACATTCTACAACAGGTATATTCTCCTTGCCTTCGTTGAGACGCTGCTTCGTTCATGTTTTCCTCCCTCGGCGAAAGAGGGTGGCGTCGCGAGAGAAAAGAAAATCGCAAATCTCTTACATACAAGTAGCATAATAAATATTTTTTTTCTTTCCAATCTCATGTCTCTCTCTCTCTCTCTCTCTCTCTCTCTCTCTTTCGCTCATTCTCTTCATATCGCACTCTTTCATTCGTTCGCTCCTCGAAGCGGATAAATCCTTATTGGCACATTGTATAGTAGACTCTTAAGTATATAAATAAGTCGTAAGTCGATGCCTCGATCGTTTAAATTATTAAATATATATATATATATATATATTGTATATGTGTATATGAATATTCAATATCTTTACGATGTATATATACGACTAGAACTCCTCGACACACGTATCACATACTAATATTGACTATCGTGTTTCAGGACGAGACTCGGAGGAGCTCTTTGCATTCCGAGTCTTGGCGACGTTTTCGTCCTTCCAATCGTTCGATTCGAAAAACGGGAATCTACTCAAAAATTCTTCCAATCTCCTTGAATCTCTTCATCTCCGCAATTCTTTTATTCTCGCGAATCTCACGGACTTTCGTTTTACAGACTTGATGTTTTTAAAGCAGTTACATGATCGACAGAGAGATTCTTTTAGAAGAAAATCTGCGCTTTTGAAGGAAGTAATAGTTTTAATACAGAATTATTGAGCGGTTGGAACGCGTTATCTTTTCGAAAATCAACTGTAGATTGACGAAAACGGCGCCGTCGTCTTATTGCTGCATTATTGACTCTTATCGTGACAGTGTTACTCACTTAATCGCTAGTACTTTCGCAATACTTTCGCAATGCTTCTCGTCCAGATCTTGATCTGGATTCCGTAAAATGAGCTTAATTAATCCACTGGAGGGAATTGGTGCTACTTGAAATCACCGTACATTTTATTTTCTTTTTTTCTCGTTGAGAAGTTATTTCAGATTTGAGATGAATAAATTCTTGTTTCAACTATTTTTTCCATTCATTTTTCATTATTGAAATGTGACGTCTCTTTTGCCTATCACGGTTTATCTCGATCTTGTCATTTGCAAAAGATAAAATTGTACGGCTCGTTCTTCCGCATTTTGATTTTGTAGTAAATAAGATACTTAATATTTAAAAGACTAATTCAACCCCCTCTTTCTCTCCTTCTCTCTTTCTCTTGAGAGATTAATTTCAATATAATATTCTATATAATGTAGTAATTAATACTTTCGTGGCCAAAGGCGGTTTCCATTCCTGAAAGTATTTCTCCATATCTTTACCTCTAAAAAATCTTCTACACGTTATCTCTTACATTATAATTATTAATCGTCGCTCTTTTCACTTCTAAAATTTCGAATCGTATTTCTCGCTAATCAATCTTTTCATCGGTTTAATTCTGTGATTTTAATTCGTGTATGTATGTGTGTGTGTGTGTGTGTGTGGGACTTGAATTTGATGGATTCATATCTTTCACGAGAAAAACAAAGAAGAGAGTTGCAGAAAAAAAAATGCAAAACTCTACTCCTTAATTCGATTCTCCGCTGGCGACCGTGCCGTCGGTCGGCGGGCCGGTCACGATTTGAGGCTCGTTCGCGGGTAGCCCCTGCATCTCCTGCACTCCCTGGAACAGCTTGCCGGGAAATCCCTGCAAGAGGTCGTAGGAGACCGGCGTGGGCGGCAGGGCAGTGGTGTGCGCGTGCGGTGATTGCAGGACGGCGATCACTCTCCGGAGCTCTTCCAAGGCGTTTCCTACGTGAGCACAGCAGCGTTTCTTAGTCAATTGAAACGTAATGCAATTTAAAATTCATCAACGAGGATCGCGACACGAAGCTGTCGCGTCGGACGAGCTCGTTACCTTGCATAAGGATGTAATTTTTCGCCAGCAGGAGGGTGGCGATCTTGGACAGCTTCCTCACGGAAGGACTGTGAGCGTAAGGGATGACAGAGCGAAGCTCGTCCAATGCATCGTTCAAGTCGTGCATCCGCCTGCGCTCTCGCGCGTTGATGTTCAGCCTCACGCTTTTCCCTTGACGAGTCGTTTTCGATTTCGGAGGACAATTCAGTCGCGAGCCTGTGGGTCTAAAAAGAATTATGAGATTATTTATGTATCGATATTATTAATTGTATATATTTAATTAAGAGTTTACCAATGTGCTTTAGAAACACATTTTAACAAGCGTACGTTACATCAGTTGATTATGGTGTATACTATAAATGTTCAGTTATTTATATATTCATGTCTTTTAGAAAGAATTTTTATATTTTTCCTCCTTTGATACGGTTATTCTTTTTTACATCTTTTTATGAAATCTTTTTGTGAAATTTCAAAAAGTTCTGTTTTTGTCTTTCTATCACACTTCTCTTTGTTATCTTTTCGTTGCATTTTATTGGCGACTTTCCAAGGTTTTGCTCACTCGATTAAATTAAAACTTTAATTTTGATCGGAAAACGTACCTCTCGTCCGGCCGATTTTCGTCGGACAACGCGCTCGACGAGGCGTGAGGTTGCGGCTGCTGCTGAAAGTAAAAGCCACCGAGACCCACGGCACCCAACGGAGTCCTTCGTCCTGGTGCGCTTTGATTGTGCTCCGATGAATACGCCGCCGGGGGACCCGAGACACTCGGATGCGAGGCTCCTGGTGTCGAATACACGGACTCGAGAGCTGCCGCGGACTGTGGAGGCAGTGGATGCTAGAAGAAGCAGTCCTCCGTTAGAATTTTGAATGGAAAATGTGTTAATATTTATGATATACATTTATCATATACTCGTATTATTATATTTCTCAATATACGTATAATAATATAAATCAACATATTTAAAAAGCGCGTTTAATAATTATTTAATTCTGTTTCTTTGATTGCTTATTTCTTACTTGCTTTTTAAAATTTGCAATTATCAACGGCATGTTTAATCATGTTTTTCGTGCTTTTCTACTTACGGCATTGCGATGCTCCCAGGCCCAGGTAGGATGAGACGCGGTGCGCTGCCAAGATCCTTGCTGCAGATGCGCCTCCGGCAGACTCTCCCTACGATCGTCGTCCTCCGTCGAGCTACTCTCGCCGTCGTAAGATCTCATTTCTCGCGAGGACACTTTCGCGATTGACCCGGATTGACCCCTCCTTGCTCTCCTTGTGTTCAATACCTACATTCAACACATTGACAAATCAATTCTGCAACTTTTCCCCTCCATAAAAGAATCTCGTTCGAATTTATTCCATTATAAAATTTTGTTGCATTATAAAAATATATAATTTATATCGAAATTTTTTGCATTTTCCTTAAACGAATTTTACATAGAGTTTCAACCTACTTTTTTATTTAATATTCCTCGTTTCTATGTCTTTTCGCACTATTCTTCTCGCAAATAATTCGTTCTTGCAGAAACTCATTTCATTTAATGCAGTTCAATTTCCAAGCTCCTCTTTCAGTAATGACTTCTATAAAATTTATTTTATTACTACACTTCTTTATCAAACTTGTGCATTTTCTTGAAAAAGTCTGATTTCATTAACGAGATAGTTTTACTTCTCAACGATTCCGAATTTTATTTTCCCATTTCCAAGAAAGATCTCTATTTTCATTTTCACATTTTTCCGTTTAACGAGCACCGCCGCCATTCGTACAAACGGGGAGGAGGATAGGAGGCGTCATCGGTCGTACTAACGCAATCAATAGCACAAGCGGAACACTTACCGACGACGATTTTCTTTTTCCACCCCCCGCGCGGCGCCCCGCGGGGTGCAGAATCCGGCGATCAGCAAAGTTTCTCGCGCACCAGCGCGCAGCGCCGGGTCATCCCTCCGTCCGTACGTCTTCGCGTTTTTCTCGACGACCGTCCCGGCTCGGGGCTCTCACGAGGATCCCGCCGCGGACTGCCGTGGTCCTTCCGTTGTCCTGCCGTCGAAATCACCCGACTCGACCAGTAGTCACAGCCATTTTAATTTGCTGGGGGTTGTCTCGAGGTGACTGATGAGAATGGAAAAAAATCCTTTCGTCCTTCGGAGACCTTCTCGCAGCAGTCCCGCGGGAGCGATGCTCGATCAGAGTTGATCTTGAGCTTCCCGTCTTACGTTGACGATCTCTAAAGTCGCGCTCGACGAAATTATCGGCACCCCGAACGTGACCACATCCCCAGGCGTCAGGGGGCCACGCACGCGTCTCTCCCCGTTGTTTGGCGGATCCTGCGCAGGAGGGAGTGCAACCCCCGAATTAATTCGGCCGCCGTGTGCCAGGGTGCGCCCGTTACGACCGAGGGATGCTGCGCTGGACCATCGACTGGCGTACCCTGGCGGGTCGCGTCGAAGATCAACCACCCCCCCGAGAGCGTCTTGTTACCATCGGGAAAGGAAAATCGTGTCCAAGAGAAGCAAGAGAAGTCGCTAGTTGCCGGAAATATATTTTACGTAAGGACGCCGTGTATAATCTTTTTCAATCTCCGAGACGAGAGTCACTCGTGTGAAATGTACACGAGAACCTATTCCGCAGTAGAAGTGATTTCGAAGTTAGAAATTAAAAAGTCGCGAAGACGGTTTGAAAGTTGGTTAGCAATGAAAAAGAAAGATGAACTCTGTCGCATGAGATCTTTATCGAGAAAAGACTTTGATTCAGACTTGGCCTGTAACTTTTACCGTAGGGAAATTATGACTGAAATCATTTTTATTAATTATCATTTCAGTAATTTATATACTTTTGCTTTACAAGATAGCTAACAAATAAATCAGTAATCTCATAGCCATAAAATATTCCAATAAATATGTTTGATATAATTGATAAATATACGCAGTATTTATTGCATTGAACATACTGAAATATTTATTACTGTTTATGTATCATTATATTGCATTTTACATCAATATTACATGTTATGCTGCGTTTCCCCATTTCCCCTTCAAGAGAAATTCTGTTTATTATTATCTTAAACTTTATATCTATTGCCACTCGAGCACGCGAGACCGCCCTCCAGACTGTCCTCTATCACAAAGAAATTCACGTCGATCCCTCGCGGTTTTACCATAAATTTCTCTTCCTCTTCTTCCCCTCCCCCTCTACTTCTCCATCGCGATCTACCGTGTGTCGCGTTTACAGCTCGCCGGCATACATCGTCGTTGAATACGATTAACGGACACGCGTTAGAGCGCGGAAAAACACCGCGAGCGTCGCCGGGGATGCCGAGACAATTCGGCGACAGCCCCTCTGGCGTGTGAATCACCCCCTCCGCCCCCCTCCTACCTTCCCCCTCGCGGATGTTTCGCCCGCGGCGCGGGCGAACGCGAACGAACGGGTGACCCCGGGTTAGTTTTACTTTTGCATCGACTGTATGCGTGCGTGTGTGTATGCGCGCGCTCTTGTATGTGTACGTGTGTTTGCGTGCGTTTACCGTAAACACAACGCGACGTAATAATATTCCGCGCTGCCGGAGAGGGAGACTCCGGCCGCGCTGAGACGGCCGCAACTTCGACATCGCATAAATTAATCGAAGGGGTTAAACGGGGTTGTTGTTTGCGCGCGTTTACTTTATTTCGCGGCCGCGGGAGAGGATAATTAATGCCGGCGCGCGCGCGAGCGCGAGTTTGCAGGTGACTGGAGCGGAGTGTGTGTACGCGTTATGCGCGAATATTATAAATTTCCGGAAATGCGCGCGAAATAAATTCCCGCCGTGCGTCTTGTGAGCTGAAACCGGGGAGGCTTCCCTCGCTGCGACGTACATGTATATATCGCGATATTGGATTCTCTCTTCAACTTAAACGTTAACTAACATTCTCGCGTTTTTACTCTCTCTTTCTCTCTCTCTACGGGAACGTATATATACTAAAGTTATGTATATTAATGTACACCGAGAATATTTCTATGACTTGGAACCGGCGAGTGAAATGAACTCTCTGATGAATCGCGCGTGTCAAAAATATATTCAAACTACTGAATCGTGGCAAATTCTCTGTCACAATGTTATTCCTCGAAGGAGCTATTTATGAATGTGTACTCGTACATTTAAACGAATAAAAAATTTAAAAGGAGTAATTGAGTTCTCCTTTTCATATTTCTGACTTCGAATAAATTTAATAAGCGCTGACTCAAAATGGACTTTGCCGGAATAAGTGATGGAGAAATGCCGCAGAAAAGCGGGCGTACTCAAAGAAACATAAATAACTAACATAAACATAAATAACTTACAATTAGTACAGGTTCGAACGTCTTCATAATCGAACATCGTCATGATATTCAGATTTCCATTCTCCCGTGAACGAGACTCGAGGATGAAAGGACTGAATTATTGAGATATACGCGTCGATATATAACGCCTTTGCTCGCGAGATACATACGCGCAAAATCTTTCTGGGTCGTGCGGCAACCGTATAGCGCCGTGAAGATTTATCATTCCCTTCGTACCCGAGAAACATCCCGAGATCTCGAAAATAATTGCGAGCGCGTCCCTGCCTCCCTGTGCTGCGCGAAATTAATTATGGCCGCCGCACATCCAAGTCCATTATTAGAAAAATATACTATTAACTAATTTGCTGAGTATGGAGTGTACATTCTTATTTGTCTTATTCGCTTTTAAAATTCTATTTATTAGTCTCGTTTATCGTTCTTAAAATTGTCCTTACCGTCTAAAGAGAGTTGCAATATACAAGTTGTATGTGAATTGATATTTCAGGCCGTAAATCGTTTCCACAATAGAGTTTTCCTTGATAATGTGTTATTTTACAATTTTATTTAACATTCTTCTCACTTTTAAACAACCCAGAAATATTGCCTCGTATACAGAAAGTTTTAAAAACTGTAAACATGTATAATTATTATATTTAGCCACCTTATTGCGCAGTAAGATTGCGAATATCTTACTCTATTAATATATTAAAGCTGTAGATACCTTTCCGAGGAAATTTTTCAAACAGCGCTCGAAGAAATGATTAAACATATTGTTACCATTTTCCTTAACGCTGTGAAGAAACAGAATCTATCCCTGTACTACTGCGTTAACATTACTTATTAATTTCATACCTCCTCTATATATAAATTCGGAGTAACTCCAAAAGTTTTGCTTTATATATTTAAATATTGTTGTCGTCACGATGATATTATTGACGATATAATCAGGAAGCAGGATGTGTCCCAGTTATCTTTTTTCATTAATATATTGCATTGTCCGTACGCGATACTCTACACGCATTGCGTATCGCGAATCTCAAAGCGGATCGAGAAGACTCGCTCTGAAAGGATTAAACGCGACCGTGTCGTCACCTCCGATAACGTTATCAGGAAGCAGGCCCTGTCCCAATTATTTCCGAAAGGAAAGGCGCGCGTCGACGAGAGACGACCGGAAGGCATATATATCGAAAGAGGCCGCACGGCCAGGAGGGGAAAAAGGATCCCTCGCACGTACGCATGCACGCGTGTATATCGGGCTCATCGATCAGGCGTACCGTTTGGTACGACGTATAGATCGCAAGACCAATGATAGAGAAGGAAAGATAGATAGATAGATAGATAGATAGATAGATAGATAGATAGATAGATAGATAGATAGATAGATAGATAAATAGATAGCTAGATAGCGAGAGAGAGAGAGAGAGAGATGGAGAGAGTGGTGGTTGCCGTTCGGGGGTGGTTTTCGGGCCGACGGGCGGCCGGACTCCTGAGGGATGAGGGACGACGAGGGTTGCCAAGGCAACCCTCCGTGCCAGCCAGCCTCGGCTTACTTTAGCCCGCTCGCTCTCGCGATCAATACAGCATCCCCCGGCGAGCTCCCGGACCAAACGCAAGCCTCCCCGCCGTCGTCCCCTCTGCCCCCCCCCACCCCTCCCGCCACCACACCCCTCCGTACTTCCCCCGAACCCTTCCTCCGCGCCTCCTTCTCCTTACGTGCCTCTCCACGTGCGCATTACCGTCGACCGTCACAAACCAACCCCCTCGCGCGTCGCGCTCCCGCAACCCCTCTTCTTCACCTCACCCCTCTCATCATCTCCGCGATTCCCTTCTACGTTTATCTTCGGGTGTGTTTTGCTTCTCCGTTGCTCTCTCTATCTTCAACCCTCCTTCGCTACCCCTCGCCCCATCCCGAATGAATTTGTCTCGAAAATCTCATTTTATGCAACGTTTGTGCACTTGAGACGCTTCTACATTTGTTTATTTACGAATTATCGCCGGTTCTCGGCGGCGTCCGGCACAACGTTCGAGCTATTCGGGAGTCCTCACATACACGCACACGCTAGCACGCACGCGCGCGCGCGCGCACACTGTGTACAAAAGCTGTAAACAAAACAACGGCTAACAAAGTTCAGCTACTCGGTATATTACGATAAAAAAAATATGATATTGGACGCGATACTGAAAAAACACAACGTGAATACAATATCGATGCACACAAAATGTGTTTTTTATGTTGTACCGTATTCGAAAATGAAATGTAAAATTTAGATGAAAAATATGATAAATTACGTGATGCTTTTCGTTCGCGTTATCAATAACTGATTACTAAAGTTTTCATCCACGTGCGGCGAAATTTGTTAAAATCATCGACCACGTCGTGCAAAATCACGCTCGGGAAATTTCAATGAGAAATCTGCGATTGCGAGTTTGCGACTCAAACTCTGCGCTGCTCCTCGGTTGCAGCTCCAACCCTATCGTCAAAATTAACCCTCCCAATAAACGATCGCTTATCGAATGACAGAGAGAGAGAGAGAGAGAGAAAGAGAGAGAGAGAGAGAAAGAGAGAAGAGAGAGGGAGAGAGAGAGAGACGCAGAGGGGAAGAGACGGGGGGAGGGGAAGTTAAATAATTAATCTACCGATTCGATTAACGTAAGCCCGCGCGATATTCTCGCGTGATCCCTGCTGAAGGATCTAGGGCGCAATTAATTTTAATCAGATCGCGTCGCGACTTTTACTTAAGAGAAGGTGGAAGAGAGACCGAGAAAGTGTAAATAAAATTTCGACTCCTCTCTATCTCCCTCTCTCTCTCTTTCTCTCTCTCTCCCTCTCACGCGCTCGCTGCTCTCTTCCTCTCGCCCGTTGCTTTGCATTTTAATTGCATTTCGGTATGCGACCCGTTTTGCATGCTAAAGCCGACCGCGAGCCCACTTATTGCAAGGGGTACAGGCGCGTCGCGGAAGAGTGAGGGGACACGGAGAAAGGAGAGTAAAGGGGAGC